CACGAGACACAGAAAGTCCTTGGTCAGAGTAAACATCACTTAGCAACAACTAAAAACATCGGTGTTTATCAGCGTTGTTCCCAGACTGAAAGTCAAAACCACAGCACTGCACCAGCTACTAAGAAGGAGAAAAACGACTGCTACTGCTGAACCCAGGACACGAAGCAACTGAGATGTTCTTAAAATCATCATCATAACACTTAGGACTCGTGGGCAGGCATTACAAGTTCTTGCTATTAGATACTAGAAAGACAGAACAAAAAGCTAGTATCTACTGTGAAAAGCTTACAGCCTAGTTTATTATATGAGACAACAGGAAAATGGGTACAAATAAGTAGGAAAAAACACATTGGAAATGGGTAGAACTTGTAACAGAATGCTCCACAGAGATCCCCAAGGTTGTTGGTAAGTTCACACAAGAAAGTGAGCCCAACTCCTGGCCTAGGCTGATCTATGCTCCTTCCAAACCCACGTGTTCCCACAGATGCCTGCAGTATGTGTGTACTGGGTATCACACATACGGGAAGGCAGCAACTTAACCATATTAATTCACTGCACATTCTTTGCACTTCCAAAGTGTACTTGCACAGTATATCCCATGCTCTGACTGGGACAGTGCTTCCATATGCCCAAAAATGTCAGATAAACATTACACTCCCAAAATTTCAGCCAAGATTTTGTCAGCAACAGATGACACATCTACCAGCAAGCAGCACAGCTCTGTTCACGTACCCAGGACCTCTAATAAATGAGCCCTGGTGCTCAGGTGTATTAGCACGACAGTTAGCAAAATGTGAGGTCATACTGGTTGAGATGCTGTATTAGTCTGCACTCCTGCAGGCTGCATAGCTACATGTTGGTCGGGAGAAGCCAAGGCTCCAGCAGAAGCTAACAGTTCCCATTCCCTGCAGGAGGAGAGGACATCATTCATAAGCTGAAACTCAACTGGACTGGCACCAGCAGTTCAAAATCAGCCCACCTTTCTTTGATAGGTATGCTGCAATTGCTAGCACATGCCCTTGGCTGCTGCCAGGGAGTTAGGTCATTGTGGTTTGTTTCCATTCTTTCTGATACATTTTTAAAACAGTTTTAATCCTAAAACTTGTTCATTTCCTCCTTATATTACAGTTTTGGAGTGCCTACCCTTAAACTGTCATGTGGTGGAATACTACAGTGAATGCTGGTGATTAAAGATACACAAACTTCACGTGTGGTTCAAAAGTTCAGCTACAATTTGAATGCTTTGGAGTAGAAAGTGATAAAATAGCAGAGAAAAAAAGGGGGAGGGGGACAATTATAGGATGAAAAATGCAGTTGACAGGAGAAAAGAGAGAGTTGTAAATGAGCATAGAAGCAATTTAATTACCATATCCTTGTCAAATGCTACATTTCCCTGTTTTGCTGTCTGATCTACAGAGGAAAGCTGTTTGCTGTTCCCTCAGAGGCAGTTTGGCTTTGCTTTAGTGGTTCAGCCCATACCATTGGATCCTCTGCTCTGGACTTCTGCCAAACGCAGCCCAGAGAATTTCACCAGTAGATCCCTGCATGGAGTTCAGTAACTTCTTGTTGATGTGGGGCACGTCTTTAGAAGACATCTGATCCTGACCAGATCTATAGGTGAGTTGTGTCAACTACTAATTTCCCTTGGGTTAAAAAATCTGCACTTTATTTCTGTCGTGGTTTAAACCCTAGCCAGACAGCTTGTTCACTCACTCCCAGTGAGTGGTGCCGGGCTGAGAGCAATTGAGGGCCCCCCCCTTCTTGCCCTCCCCCTACTTCCAGAGGGACAGAGAGGAGAATTGAAAAGAATGCAACTCCCACAGGTTGAGATAAGAACAGTTTAGTAACTAAGGTATAACACAAATCACTACTGCTACCACCAGTAATAATAATGATAAAGGAAATAACAAGGGAAGAGAATACAACACCTCACCACCAGCTGACTGATAACTCCCCCCCCAGCCCGACCAAGCACTGACTGATACCTCCTCCAACCCTGCAGTCTCCCAGCCCTTCCAGGTAACTCTCAGTTACATCCTGGGCATGATGTGCTGTGGTATGGAATACCTCTTTGGTCAGTTTGGGTCAGGTGTCCTGTCTCTGCTTCCTCCCGGCTTTCCCTCCTCCCTGGCAGAGCATGAGGCTCACAAAGGCCTTGGCCAAACCAAAACATCATTGTTATCAGCTCTGTTCCCGAGCCGAAAGTCAAAACACTGCACTGCACCAGCTACCAAGAAGGAGAAAAATGACTGCTACTGCTGAGCCCAGGACAATTTCCCATCTGAATTTGCCAGCCTTTGTTCTAACAGTCACAGGTTTGCACCCTGATGACTGCTCGCCTATCAGTTCAGGATTAGACAATTCTCATGTGCCAACGCAGTTATTGTGAAGGGGACAATTCTGTCTTGGAAAGACTTTCCTTTAGAGGGGACAAGAAAAACAACCTTTAATAAAAACTCCTCAGCAAGAAAAACAGCCTTTAATAAAATCTCCTCTGTAACTAAAGAGTGAATCACAAACTACAGTGAGAAATAACACAGGGAGCAATCAGTAAGAGCACTAGGAGCTAGAGGGACAAGCTTGAAGGTGTGCAGCCTGAAAGGCAGCTGCTGATGCAAAACCAGAACACCCCCTCAATGATTTTTTAATGACTCACTGGTCCTGCATTGGCCTCTGCAAATCATCCCTAAAATGGAAGGGATGAGGTGCCCAGAAATTGTCTATCTTCACCACCAAGACAAAGTCACTGTATCAAGAAGTTACCATAGTTACTGTGTAATGACAGCAAAAGGAGGCTTTAGAGTTGATCAGGGTTGCTGCTTTTACTCCTGTTCAATGTTCACTGCTACTTGCAAATACCCAAACACCAGCTGCCCAGAACAAGGAGTGCTAGGAGCAGGGAAGTGACTCTGTAGGGACTCAGTGTAGCACTATTGAGTGAAAATCAGCTGGTTGTGTGATCCTTTTATACGGTTAACCTGCTAAACTCAAAAGGGCTTGGCTGGGGAGCACCCTCTTGCTAAAGCTGGCTTTGCAGAACAAGGGGGTTTGACTGAAATGGACAGTCTTCAGCAACACAGATGACTATTTCATGCACATGCACCCTCTGACTCCATGAGGAGACAATGATATCATGGGAAATATTAGTGCACTGATTCTGCCAAATGCCAAAGAGCAAAGAGAAGGGAAAATAACCCAGGAAAAAAAATTACAGTTATTTGAAGTAAGATCAATTATGTGGGGGCACAGTAATACTGGCCAGAAAGAAATTTGTATCAAGACAGTAGAATGTTGTCTGTAATTAGAGATGTGTGCACATCTGTGGGGATATGATATAACAGGCATCACAGAAACATGGTGGGATGGCTCCTATGACTGGAGCGTTGGGATGGAAGGTTATAGGCTCTTTAGAAAAGACAGGCCCAGCAGGCGGAAAGGGGGAGTTGAACTTCATGTTAGGGATAGGCTGGAGAGTATGGAACTGTGTCTGGGGACAGGTGAGCAGTTAACAGAGATTTTGTGGGTCACAGTTAAAGGGAAAACAGCTATGGGAGACATTGCTGTGGGGATCTGTTACAGACTGCCAGATCAAAGAGAACCTGCAGATGAAGCACTCTACAGACAGGTAGGAAAAGCCTCATGCTCACAGGCCCCTGTTCTCATGGGTGACTTCAAGCACCCTGACATCTGTTGGAAGGATGGTACGGCCCAGCACAAGCAATCCAGGAGGTTCCTCGATTGTGTAGAAGACAACTTCCGTCTGCAAGTAACAGAGGAGCCAACAAGGAGAAGTGCCATGCTTGACCTCGTGCTCACCAACAGGGAAGGGCTCATTGGAAATGTGATGTTCCAGGGCAGCCTTGGATGCAGCGATCATGAGAGGCTCAAATTCGAGATCCTCAGGAGAGTGAGAAGAGCGTGCAGCAAGCTCACTGGCCTGGACTTCAAAAGAGCAGACTTTGGCCTCTTCAGGAACCTGCTTAGTAAGGTTCCATGGGATACAGCCCTAGAGGGCAGGGGGGCCCAAGACTCTTAGCTGATATTCAAGGATCACCTGCTACAAGCTCAGGAGTGTTGCATCCCCACCCGAAGGAAGTGCAGCAGGAGGGCCAGGAGACCTCCTTGGATGGATAAGGAGCTGCTGAGGAAAATTCAAATGAAAAAAGAGGCTTATAAAAGGTGGAAGCAAGGACAGGTGGCCTGGGAAGAGTACAGGGATGTTTTCCGGGAAGCTAGGGACCAGGTTAGGAAAGCTAAAGCCCAGTTAAAATTAAACTTGGCTAGGGATGTTAAGGGTAACAGGAAGGGATTCTACAGGTACATAGCAAATAAAAAACAGACTAGGGACAATGTAGGCCCCCTCAGGAAGCTCTCAGGAGAACTGGCTACCCTGGATTTGGAGAAGGCTGAGGTTCTGAATGACTTCTTTGCCTTGGTCTTCACTGGCAAAAGCTCTGACCGCACCACCCAAGCCTTGGAAGGCAGATGCAGGGACTGTGAGAATGAAGACCTTGCGCCCACTGTAGGAGAGGATCTGGTTCGAGACCATCTTAAAAATCTGAACATGTACAAGTCCATGACTCCTGATGAAATCCACCCGCGGGTTCTGAAGGAGCTGGCAAATGAAGTTGTGAAGCCATCATATTTGAAAAATCATGGCAGTCAGGTGAAGTTCCCGATGACTGGAAAAAGGGAAATATAACCCCATTTTCAAGAAGGGGAAAATGGATGACCCGGGGAATTACAGACCAGTCAGTCTCACCTCTGTGCCTGGCAAAATCTTGGAGCAGATTCTCCTGGATGGCATGCTAAGGCACATGAAAAACAACAAGGTGCTTGGGGACAGCCAGCATGGCTTCACTAAGGGGAAATCCTGCCTGACCAATTTGGTGGCCTTCTATGATGGGGCTACAGAACTGATGGACAGGGGTAGAGCATTTGATGTCATCTACCTCAACTTGTGTAAAGCGTTCGACACTGTCCCACACGATCAAAAAACCGTAACATCACAAAACTTGATTCAACTTAGCTTGTTTGATAAAGAACCTCTGAATATTGGAAATAAATTAGACTAACAAATGTCACAGTCACAAGGAACTTTCATATTATGTAATTTTCCACTGCATTACAACTTAACAGAGAACTATAAAAATAAGACGCTGATTACAAAATATATTAATCAGTTTGTAAAACTATCGGTTAACTCAAATTTTAAGTTTCATGATAACTTATACAGCTCAGTCACACTGCACAAAGCGTTGAATGATACTCCAAATATAAAATTATATCCTCTCACAATCCGACTATGCCAATTCATAGTATTTCCCAGAATTTGGATCAAAGTAACAGTTCAGACATGGATCATACAGAAGAGTCAGAATTTCCTCATCTTCTTCAGCATTGAGGTCATCTTCACCTGTATCAAGTGGAAGAAGTGTGAGTAAATTACTCTTATTTGCTTAGACAATAACATGGAAATACCATTCTGTCAGATGTGACAGAATTCTTCTTTGAAGTGTATAATCTTTTGACTCTTGAATTGTTACCTTCAAGATAGCAGCAACTCACATTTTTATTGTATTTCTGAAGACTTGTATTCAGTTGAGGTGAAATAATGTCAGTCAGAGATTGCTTAACAACTGGACTTTCCAAATGGACCAGTTGCCCAGAAATACTTTTACTGATAGTGGATCAAAGGATTCCTAAATGCTATTTTTCACAATGACCTTCTTAAACAATAATGGCTTAGCATGAACAAAGACAGTCAGTGTGTACTTAAGGCCTGTAACACTTAAAGAATGTGAATGTCTGGCATTCAATATATCACCTAAAAGTCCAGTACAGGTAAATCTGTACAAAAGAGCTTTCAGTATTGGAGAGGAAATAAGATTCTTTTAGACAACAAAAAAAAAACTAAATCTGGGCTTTTTAAAGTTATGTAAAACGCAAGAAAGTTTTCAGGTTACTAAAATATACTAATAAAGCCATACAGACAGCTATTACAGATGCTTTCGATATTGTAGTTCCTTTTCTAAATCTGTCTTTCAAATAAGATAAATCTAAATTGTATGACCTACAGCTTTTTGATAGGAAATAATTCACAGTTAAAACACAATCTGCATCTTGAATTTCATCATAAATGTCCATCTCATTCTTAGATTGCTAATACAAACTGAATGTGCTTTGTATGCCGTAACACTCCATAATAAGTCATAGCCTGTTATGCTAACAGCAGCAGTTTCACAATGCTCAGAATCTATTTACAGCCAGGATCATGCCACAATATGTAGGTTACATTACCTAGAGGCCAGAAAGTATGCTGGTGCATTAATGCGGACAGAAGTGCATGCTTCAGCCTTTTGGAATAGATGTCATTTTTATTTCCTCATTAACAAATGCCATCAGAAAGAAACTGTCTTTTACTGTAACCAAAGTTAAAAAGGTAAAGCTAAGTTGTTGCCCCTGCTGTGAGTACTTCTTCAGTCCTGGTGAGCTAAATGAGGTTAACTGAGATATTTTGTTTGGATAGCTCTTGGGAAAAATTACGTAGTGCAGAAAGAAGATGTAGAACTGAATGTCTTTTTCTACACTTCAGATCATAGCACACCAGCAAATGCCATCCATGCCCCATTCCCTCGCACAGCCTTACATTTTCACTTGAAAACCATGTTATTTTCATTGAATTTTTCCTTTTATTATTTTGCTTTTCCCCATCCATGCTTCTTTTCGAAGTGATTTTCTTTTCTTCTCTAAGCTTAAGTCTCCTTCCCTCCTTACCTGGGAACTGCTCTCTCTGGTTTGGTTTTACTTCCTAAAAAGATGCACTGGTTAAATTAAATGACATTTTTCTATATGTCGACACTCAGCTAATGGGTAATGGTTGTATTAGCAAGCATTCGGCTACTTTCAGATGGTGCATTGTGTTCAACTTGACAATATGTGGGAATGAAGTGTCTATGGCCAAATTCCCTGATAAATGAGTCCCTTTCAAGTGACATTTCCAGAGCTGTTTAGGCTGCCACTGTCCACACTTTTGGAGTTGAAGCTGCTCAGGACTGCATGAAAAAAACCTCTTGGCAGTTTAACTTGACTATCATGGTGAAAGCAAAATCAAAGCTTTTGTTCTTAAATCGCTACAAAATTAAACAGTATTTTAGGCTAGCAAATAACTTGATTTTAAATGAAACCTCAAGCCTGAGATACACATTATAGAGGGATGAGTATTTTTGAGTTCAGAGCTGAAAGACTGAAGATAGTTAATACCTCTGAATACCTGTCATATTAAATGAATGCTGCCCTACTGAAATCAAGGGAGCTATTGTTTTTACGGAGAAAGGCTTTTGCTCAGAACGTTTAAACCAGGATAACAAAGAATGGAGAAGGCATGCAGCAGCTTTTTCTGAACTCTGAAATAAATGCACAAATAAACTGTTGTTGTTTGGGTTCTGTTCACACTGGTTCCACAGTCACCACAATCTGGAGAACTAAAATACAGAGTTTCCATTTTCATGAAAATATATTTTCCCCGTATTCTAGGTTTTAACACTAAAAAATGGCTTGCAGCAAATCTCACTTTAAGATACATGGATCATTTTCGGACCCTGACGTAAGGCAACTGCACTGGATCAGCTGTCAGCAGGAGGCGTGGCTGGGAAGAATACTGATAGTATTTTTTCAGATATGGTCCTTGAGCATGGAACTGCAGTGCTCAAATCTATACTGTAATTATGTGCTGCAGGGTTACCACCTGACTGTTGTCAACAGCTGTAGTCCAAGAAAGACTCTTCAGTGCTGTGGTTCCTGAGGTTCCTAGGATTCATGGCTCTGCCTTTGTCACTCACTGGGGAAACTTTCTTATTTGTTATGTCAAGATGAAATTGTCCATAAATCAGAACTAGCAGTGCTCAAGAAGGGAAAAATCTATGGAAATTAATCATATTTCTGAGTCTAAACTTTCCTCGATTGTCTTGTGAAAGCTCTTGAATAGAAAACTACTTCTCATTATGTCTCCCTATTTAACTAATGGTGCTGCAAATATTAAGAAAGGAACTATAGAGAACAATGCTTTCTTAGAAATTAATCCCCTTTCTTCCCCAAAGTTATGCACCAACTTAAAGATTTTTTTCTAAATATAAGAATTAAAAAATCTTTACAAATACACTAATGCTATACTACCTGGTTTTCTTTAAGGACAGTTTTAGATAAAGTTAGTATCTTGAATACATTATGAATCACTGCAGATTTTCAGTTCTGATAATATGGTTTTGTTATCCTGTGATAACTGGAATACTGGAAAACTGCACACACACACAAAATAATCTTGCAACAATTAAGTCACTGTCCAAGATGAGAAATAATTCATTTTCTAATGTGGCATTTTTAAGAAAATAATGAGTAGGGAAGCAGAATTTTGTGGAATGAATTTGATCATTCAGCTTGCTGATCAGATTTGGTACTTGATTGTCAGTAACAAAACTGTTCTTTCATCACACAAGTAACTAACCTCAGCTGAAGTGATTAAGGAAAACTAACTGGTAGAGACATACCACGGGATGCAACAAAAACAAAAAAGCCATCATAAAAAGCTATAGTATATATAGATTTTCTGTTCTCCAAACGTGCAGGCACTGACACATGATGTAAAGTACTTCAGCATAAAGGAAAATGAGTTTAGGAACAATTCACAAAACACTGTGGAAATTCTAGTGTGAATAACAGAAGAAATGCCACAAATTCCCAAGTTTCCCAAAATTCTATTTCGCTGTCATAAACAATTACAAATATACATCTATGAAAACATCCCCCATTTGAGGGGCATAATTTGTTTTAGACAGTAAGTCACTCAGGCATCATCCTTTGGGCAGCCAAATACACCGGTCAGATTTATGAGTGTTCACACTGAATTCTCCAGAGTTGAAGAAAAATGTAGGTATCTACCCTGTTTCTTAAGACAACTGATAAGAAAAAAGGGCATTTGAAAAAAAACAAGGTATTTGTTTTATTCTACTGTTGTTGACTTTCCAGTTTCAGCTGAGTTCTTTGCCATTTACTAAGCAAATACCATTAATAAACAAAAACCTGTAACATTTTAGGTGATGACAAAAGTCTTTACACAGGAAATCATAATGAGATTTCATTTAAAGCTAAATCTGAAATTTTTCTTTGTAAGAGAAATATCACTTACATAAGCCTAATTGTGCTTCTGAACAAGAATGTTTAGTCTTTGCATTCTTTCTTCCATAGGTTTGCCATCCCCACTAGCATAAATTACTTATTTTAAACAAAAAAGATGCATTTTTTGAGTTAATCTGTATCACATCAGAACATTAGGAAACTGCAAATAATACTGCATGGAAAACTCTACCAGCTTGAGCTAAGAATAGTAAAAAATAACTTGGAACCAAAATGCTGCAGTATAGAAAACTATGAAAAGGCAGCACCAGCACTGCAGAAAGAGCATTTCAAAATGTCTTTCTACCCAGGACCTTTTCATTGTCTTCATAAATTCCTACCTGGAGTACTCCGATTTGTTGAAGATCTAGTGTGCTTTTCCAGCTGTTGGCTTCTAGGAATGATGGGGGGACTGAACATGTCCATCCAGTCCCTGAAAAATACAAATCAAAATATCATCCATAAAAACACAGTTTGTGTAACTATTACTTAAAAAACCCTTTCAAAGGTAAGTGCAGGTTGTCGAGTGTGATGGAACAAAATCAAGCTGGATTTTACTGTTATAAAAACAAACTTTACAGTTAATACTATAAATGTTAAGGTTTTCTTTCTTCTTTAGCCAATTTGAGCTGGGATTGCTCTCTCAGCAAAAAGTGTACATGAGGTGTGATCCATAATGCACAGAGCTATACTGTGAAAGACTCTAGGACTCATGAGAGTGTTTTTCCTGAGGAATAAAGATTTGGGATGAACAACCTGGTCTTGATTAGAGACTGATGGGGCCAATTTGATTAAAAACCCTTACCCTCTCTAAGGAAAAAGACTCACAGACAATCATAAAGAGATGTCTTTGGTTACCACTGACTTGGCACTGCTTGGAGACCTGCGTACCACGGTGACATGGCAGGTGGTGGATCACTCACAGTCTGGATGGTTGGTGACTTAGAGCAGAGCATAGATTTGAAATGGATGCCACCAGCAGTGCGCTACGAGCTCAGAGGTCATGAACTGTGGGACAGCCAATTTGTATTAAATAACTTAATCTTTCCAGTTTAATTTAACTTGAAAATTTTTCAATGAAGGCATGGAATTAGTGGTCAGAGCTAAGAATAACATATTACCAGTTTGCTAGTGTTTTTCAGAAGGAAACACTGGATTGAGTCAGGATGTTATTGCTGACAGTGTTCTTGATATTGGAAAAAAACCTTTGCTAGGTAACTACACTATAAAGTGCTTATAACATATCTATATTGTTATAAAATACTATACGCTATAAATAAAAAAGCTGTTATCAAGCATAAGATGATTTTAGCTACTGACAAGGCCATATAGAGGATTCATCTCAGCTGTTACACGTATATTTTGATTCTGTAGAGAAAAAAGCTTTATGAGATCTTTATCATAGATGAGGGAGTATGGACCTTCTTCACCTGTTCAGTTTAATAGGCAATTTATGTCTCTCCTCAACACTATTTTGTGATAGCTTTTAAAAATGATTTTCACGGAATCACACATTCATGCAAAGTTCAATGTTCATTTCACATACACTGTTTTATGACAGTCTGTGTTTGCTACAGCTCAAAGGGAAACAGAACAGTTTTTATTGTTATTATTACTGTAACTGCAGATTTTTTCACTGAAGTAACTCATACCACGTCTTGTAATTCTTTTCATATATGAAACCAGTCTCTGTACACTGTACATAGCTGATGCTTCCTTAAGTTCCCATCTCTCCTCATCAGCAGTAAAGAGCTATAACGCATTCAGGCTTTCATATAACCATTAACTAGACTAAATATTTGCAAATTAATACTTAAGCATAGAATTCAAGGGACCTCAATCAATCATCTCATTTTGATCAAACCAGGTCCTTCTTTGTTGACCGACCTATTTCAACTACAAGACAAGCAGAATGGAAAGGAAAAGGGCTCTTTAAATTCCTTTATGTTTGCTTCATGCTGGTGGGAACAGTGCAGCTCTACAGAGTAAATTAAACTTAAATTGGGGCTGCTTTGACTTACCTCTGGCCGTGGCTGTTCCAACAGCTGATACAAATAGATTACACATGCGAAGCTGGAGGCCAAGGAGATCAGCCACAGCTGAGGAGGTAACTTCAACATCCATGGCTTCTTCTAGAAGGCATGAGTTGTTCCAAAGCTTGACAGGTTTCTTTACACTGGTGGACTGTAATTGTCTCAACTCAACTGTCCTACACCCACTAAACAGGTAACGTACTTCTCCTTCCTGAAAAGCCTTGATGATCTCATGTAAGATTTGCTTCTGACAAAGGAATCTTTCAAGGCTCAGCCATGTGTTGTAATTGCTAAAATATGACAACTTTTATGTTAGTTTTTCTGCTACTTCTGGACTTGTTATTGATTTCACATTATCTCCTGCTGGCATACAGGCATAATCTGGAGTGAACAGGGGGACAACCACCAATCTGTTTGCAGTCAAAATGGAAAAAACTTACCTTCTGCCTCAGGAAACAGAACTGCTGGTGTAGAAATACAGCAAGTAGCATAGCAGATTTAAAGGAAGAGATACTGAATTTTCCATCATTTCAATAGGTAAAAAACATACTTCAATATTTTTTTACACCAGCATATTCTTTTCACATATATGGTCAACTTCACAACCAATCCTTCTCTTCTGCTGTTCAGCTAATACCTGAGAACTGGTACAAATACTCCACACAGCAATATGCTTGCCTAGACATCTCATTATTAGCTCTCTCTGGCACTGCTCACCATACCTGCATTCCCGGAATATGGCCAAAGACTCTTTGTTCACACCAAAGCTTCCAAAGTTTTTAGAAGTAACAGTTAAATGCATGCTTTGATATCCAGTGGCATGGTAGAATATATTTTCCATTTCTTCCACTGGCACGTGTGGTTTGTGCTGCCTCAGAATCAGCAAACATAAACCTAACACTAGAATCTGACCAAGCTCATAGTACGTGGTCAGAAAGCACGAAGCATTATCACTTATCTGATTCTCTACAATTGCACCGAAACATTAACATCAGCAATGGCAATGTCTTGGAGAAACTGAGGCAATTTTAGAGAAGGTAAGGAAGAACTGCTAGCACTAATCTCTGCTTCCCAAGCTACCCTTTCTTCCAAATTCACTACAGCTTTTAGTTTAGTGTTATCTATGAGACAGTCTAGATTCAGTTCATGTTTTTTTTCCCTCAAATGTCCAAGAAAATCTAATAGCTTTGCTATTCAAACCCCTCCCATCAAGACAAGCAATCAAAACACTACAGTATTAGGGATTCATTGTTGATTTAGCGTTATTTTAAAGATGGAAACATATTACACAATTTGCATTAAAACTAGGTTATTACTTCCACAAATTGGATACCAATGTCTAAATCAACTTCTCCTAAAATCTTGAGATAAAACCCCCCAGAACAAAACTTAATCTCATGTGTGCTGAAATATTCTCAGCCACACTGCAGTACACAGTAAACACTGGCACTTGACTGATATACTTCTGAGAAGTGGGCTTACATTGGCAATTCTGATAGATGGTGTAGTCTAGCAGACCTTGCCTAAAAGTAGAGCCCAGCACGGAGACAAGAGGCAATGTCCTGAGAACTGTGGCCTTCATTCCCATTTATGGCAGTTTTATACTGACTGAATAAAGAATACTGGTTTTGAGAACTTCCTGAAGAAGCTGTTTATCTCCTTAAATCAGCAAAGCTGATCACACATTCTGACTCATTAAAGTCACTCCCTCCCTTTAAGCTATCAAAGCCTCCAGCTGTAATCAATATAATCAATGGGCAGTAAACTATCCACAGCTTTCCTGATAGCAATGTGGAATGCCCAAGTATTGTCTTTTCACATTGTGAGCTGCATTGTATGAAGCCTTAGAATAGCTTCCACACACATTCAAAGTACCATGAACCTTTAATGCTTTCACTAAAATTCTTCATTATTCGGCAAGCTTTTCTCTATATCAAACCAGAATCTAAAATACTATAAAGTCTTGTAATATTATGATAATCTTGTTAAATAATGGTCATATATTGAAATACCACATGTGATGGAAAGCAAAAGAATCTTGTGGACTTACGAACATCATTTTCAGTCTTACGACAGCATGTTATATTTTGCAAAAAACAGCACTGATCAGTAAAATCTGTTGAGAAAATTAGTGATGCCTTATTAAGTAGCACTTCTCAATGACAATGTATCTAAAGTATTGACATCAACAGAAACCCAAAGAATTAGAGGGGTCTGATTTAAATCTTAACCAATACCCTTGACATTCTGATATTTTTACAGATATTTTTGTGCTTTAGTCTATCCTGCTGGCTGGACTGAGAAAATTGCAAATCATTCAGTATAAAGATTTGTAACATTGCTCTGAATTGAGATAGCATATACATTTCTTTTGGATCAGATTTAATTTGTATTACTTAAATCAATGGGATCATTTAATCCACCTTATTAGCAAAATTAAAATGCATCAAAGTTTTAGTATGGTTTCACCCAACAATCTAAACAGGAATTAAAAGGAATATTCAAGTTATTCAGTCAGGCTGGCAGTATACTTAAAAAAAGCAGGGCAAGGGCTACATTATATCACAACAGGGAATGAAAAAACAACAGCAGTTTTGTACCATTAGGAACACACTGAATTGACAAGCTATTAAACATCTGAAAAATACAATCAATAAAGAACTGATGATTTTAACTGCATAAACTACTTAGTAAATCTTTATGAATATAACTGGCTTGTGCCTGAGTGACAATAAGAGGAACACATTTGCTGAATTATGCTTTACAGTGGACAATTTGACCATCTCTGCAGAGGGCCAGAGAATGCCAATGTATGAATCAAGAGTATAAAATTTTAAGGAAAAAAGGACTAATTCTTGACATCTCATGCAGCTATCAACTTAAAATCTCAGCACATACTTCTGCTGTATTAGTAACAGTTAACCCCACATGAAGCAAATTCTGCTGCAGATGCTCAAAGTGAGTAATTAAGTAATACCTTACCATTATCCACTGAATGCAAAGTGACAGATGGCATCAAAAGTATGGTTCAGTACAGCCTACATAATCAATTCAGTTAAGATGAAGATCTCTTTTTCTCACTTGTTTGGATTTTTAATTATATCTTTTTAAGGTTATCAGAAGCATTTCTTAGATAGATCAATAAAAATTCACCTAGTTCTGTGAGACCCGTCTCCTATTCCCTGCTACATCTTTTTTGGAGTGTGCATAACTTGTTAGGCTCCTCTAGATTAGCAGATCTGAATTTTTAGTTATTTACGTATCTGCTGAGTTTCATGCATATGCGTAACTTCATTAACTTCAATCAGATTACCTATACACACCTGTTTGGATTCTGCTTTGTAATATATTAATCATCTATGCATAATGGGAGTGTGTTCTTTTTAATAGGAATATTTCC